GAGGGGGAGGGGGCGGCTGGGAAGGACAAGAAAACGCATGCGGGGGAGGCGGGCAAATTCGCGATCACGATGGGCAGCGAAGCTGAGCCAGATAAGCCAGACGTTCGCGTAAGACAGCCCACACGCTGAAATGCCCGTTGCCCTCCGTTCCGCGCGCGGCATTTTGGCTCAAATTTGATTTGCGAACCCGCCTGAAATACACTTGAAGAAATTGTGGATGATGTCTGCGCGATGTGAATTATGTCAGATTCTGAATCTTGCGCCGGCGCCACTGTCGTCGATCTCGCCCCAGCGCCCAGAGGAGGCGACGGATCAGATTCCGACCTGCGCGGAACAGGTCCCGAGGTCAAAATTGCTCAGAGTGGCCGCCGTCGGGGTACAGGAAATACCGAGGGCGTTCCAGGTGACATTGAGGGTGCAGATTCCATCGCGGCCATTCTCGCTGCAGACGCGGGGCGGCGGTCGAATCTCGTTGCAAGGCGCAGCGCAGTTCGCGACGGCTCGGTTGCGGGGTTCGCTCGCGCGATGGCTTCTTGCGGCGACGGCCGGGGCGGAGGGGCAGCGACGTGAGCCGCGGAGGGGAATGCTGGCATTATCCGTTGGCCCATCAGTTGTCGGTTATGTTGCACATGTGGTTTCCGATTCGATCGCGGTCGATACTCTACGCATGCCCGCGTCTTCGGCCCCCGCTGCGCAAGCTGACGACGCGCGCGACGACCGGGGCCACGCCCGTGGTCCAGACAGAGTTCAAACATCAGTCGGGGCATGGTTGCAACTTCAAGATGGTGGCGCAACGATAAATAGCGCAGAATCCTTCTTTCGTCCTGTCGCCAAGATGTTAGTGACAAGCTGTTATCATATCTCACTTTTGGCAGCGATCCGCCCGTCGCGGCCATGGACTCGAGATCCATGGAGCGTTCGGCCGTCACCGCGTCATCTTCGCCGGTTCCTAAGGCTCCACAGCATTGTTCGCAATGGGGGCGGCGGCGGCAGCGGTGGCCGGAATGTCGTTGACAATTTCGCCCGGCACGAAGATGAAACAAACGATTGCGCAGCTGAGACACAGCATGGGCGTTGGAGGTACTAAACATAGTAGAAGGTTTTTGGCGCCAGCTGCTGGCGCGATCGCATCGGAACTCGACGGCTCCGAACGCGCGCAATATCTGAATTATTTCAAGAACAATGCCTGCCGAGAGCGGGGAAGGCGCGCGTTCGGTTCGACCTTTTCGCCGCGCGCATCTGGGGGGGATTCATCGGCGCGGCTCGCCCTGAAGATATCGATGTTTATGCGTGCGTGGATGGTAGCTCTCAACGCAGAGGTAAAGCGTTGGCGCGTCAAGCGTGGACATTTTCATGCGGCGATCTGGCAATGCCGAGGTGTGACATCGCCTATTGCCCGTCGCATCGCTTGGCAGATATCAGCTAGATACGATTCGGAAGACGGTTGCGCTTCTGCGGCAGTTGCCCCTCGCGTTCGGCCCCGAATTGCCACCGCGCGCGTCGGGGCGACTTCGGCGCATTTTGACCGACAGCGGAGTGGGGCGCAACATCCATGTGATGCCAAATGTCTTGCAATATTTTCATTGGTTCATCGATGAGCCTGAGCCACCTGGGCTCAGGCGCGGAGGAGTTTTGATGCCTCGGGTGCTGCGTTCTAACGGATGGCTGCGCGCATTTGACGCGGCCATCAAGCGCCGCCTCTCAACATTGGGTTTCTTCTTAGATGGCGCGCAGAAGTTGAGGGTGCTTTTGGGGGGGGGGGTCCATGCGAGACGAAAATGCAATGGAAACTCTTGCTCAAGGGCTCCGAAGACGGGGCTTGCACGCCGTTGCTGACGCGGTCTCGGTGTATAATTTCCATTCGTTTGCAAAATGGAAGTGGTTCGCGCTGCATGAGTGCGTCGGGCCACTTAGAAATTCTCCATGCGTTCGCTAATGCTTTCGATCCTAACATGTTCCGCTGCATGAGAGACCAAGCTCGTTTCAGCACTGCGGTGGCCGCGCTAGGCTCATATAGGTGGCCCAGGAGAGAATTATCGTTCGCGGCGCGGTTCGCAGCGTGGTTCACCCCCCTTCAGAATTGCATTGGGACGTGTCTATGCCACCCACAAGGACGTTCGGGTTTAAAACGTCGCACGCTTGCAACTGCATGTGCTTCTTGAGGCCTCGCGAACCCGTCCAGCGACCAGCGTCTCGACCGCGTCCGGCCGTCTGTTGCAAACGTCGCTCGGGGCCAAACTCCGAGGGGCCAGCGACCAGAGCGAGATAGGGGGAGGAGGGGGGGGCTCACAGCAGCGCTTCCAGGCCCGACCAGCCAGCTGGGCTGAAGCGGCCGCCCCCCCCCACCGGCCCCATGTTCCCGAGGGCTTTCCAAGGCGCCCCCAGGCAGCCTCGAGAGGCCACCGGGAGGCCCCGCGAGGTTTTCAAGAGGGCTGACCATGTTTAGTCACGTGCGAAAGCATTAACGTATACATGTATTGCCAAGCAAGCATAATCAACGCCAGCGCTTCTTTCCTTTTCCTCGCGCTCCTCATTGCCCCGCGCCCGCGGGTGGATCGGGGGGGGGGTGGGGTATCTTAAGCGTGCCAGTCTAGCTTGCTTGCCGCCCAGGTGGCCGGCGAGTTGCATTGCGCGGGCGGTGCAAAACGAACGCGTAGGCAAGAAACACGCAAATCAACAACAACAAAAATATTCGTTTCGCGAATTTGTTCCAGCCCGCCGCCGGGAGAGGCCAATCGCAGCGCGCGCGGTCGTTTGCTTTGCGTTGCCCACGGACATCTCGCAACAAGTGCAAGGGTCGGTTCGGTGGTGCGCCACTTAGCATCGCAGCAGATCCAATATTTGGATCAGATTCCGCGGTTACTGAGTCGATTGGGCGAGCCTGGGGTTGCGCGGCGGGCACTCGCCCAATATGACACTTGCCCGGGCGGGCGGCGCGATCCTGTTCCGAGGGGGCCTTTCGGGATTGGTTCGAGACATCGCGCGCGCTGTGGCAACGTGGCCAGTTGGGCCCAATGCGTCGCCCGCTCTGCAGAGAGAAGTCGGCCCCGTCAAGTTGACGCCCTTGGGCGACTGCGCCAGCGAAGGAGCGGCCAGGCTTCGAAAATCAAACACTGAAGAGGTCTGCATCAGTTGGGCCCCCCCCGCCCTCCTCTTCCCCCACCTTCCCTCGCCCTTATCCTCCGCGCCCCCCGCCTTGAGCGCCCCCCCCTCTCCGTCCGCCGGCCCCCCGCCAGAGCATTTAGCGCTGCATTGCGTTGAATTGGTGTTGGGGCGGGTCTAACCTGACAAGCTTGGGCGCATTCCGCAAGGGGGGGCCTCGCCGTGTTGTTGACCGGGGTCTGAAATAACATGCAGCATGTTGTCAAACAAACGCCTTTGTTCTCATATCTTGCCCAGCATAGGTGTGGCGCGGGAGAAAGAGTGGGGAGTCGATGCAGATGCTGGTCCTGGGGCCCGATGAACGTAGCGCTCTGCCGATTTCCAGGAGCGCGTGAAAATTGATCGGGCTCGTCGTTCACGCTTGGGGTTGCATCTAAGCCGCTCAGGACATGCAGACACCCTAGACCCCTGAGGATCTCATGTCAAGGCTTTTCGAACATTCACACATGCCCGCTCGTGTACGTGGGCATGGGCTGACCCATCGCACCGTTTGGCTCAGACTTTGGAAGAATATGATATTCTCATGAAGCTCGTTCCTGGATTTGATCCCGCACGCACATGGAAGCACTGCAAATCCTTGGTCCCTTGCGTGCAGTGTACCAGACAGACATTCGAGAATGGTGTTTACGAGATGCGACGCGTCTTGGGCGGCGTGGACCACGCGCGCAGCGCTGGCGATGACCCAGACGACGACGACCTCGGAGGCGGCGGCGGCGCAGGTGGTTCGGGCGGCCCAGGAGGGGCTGAGCGCGACCAGGATGGTCCTGCAGACGGCCCCGACGACGACGCCAATCAAGGAGACGGTGGAGAAGATGGAGGTGGGGGCGATGGCGGAGGAGGTGGATGTGGGGGCGGCTGGAGCAAGCTCAAACACTTGCGCGATCGCCCGGCGTTTCGTTCAGAGAATGACAGACCATTGCGAAGCTACTTGATGGGGACCGTCAAAGCATTCATGTGCATGAGTATCCTTGGGCCTAGCCGCGATGGAGGGGGCCGACACTCTTCCCTTCAAGTGTTCAGGACGCCTGGAGACGGCATCTTTCTTGCTACGCATCATGCCAGGACAGCGAAGAAGTGGGCGTTCGATATCGTGGTGCAGCATCTCGAAGTATCGACCGCCGTGGACAGCGCCGCGAAGTGGAACGTCTTCGCGCTGGAGGAACCCACCACTATTGACATCTTGGCGATCGCTGGAGCCGATTTGGGAGCTATTTATCGGATCTGTACTCACTCCAAGGTTGATGCTGATGTGATTGGTTGCGCTGGCCTGGCGGAGCGGAAGCTGTTGCGGCCTGCGATGGATCTGGCGGCCGCGAGCGCCCTTGTCTGCGTATATGCTTCATCCATGTATACAAGACGACTGTGTGTCTCTCGTTTTTTTGTTGTTGTTTGTTTTTATGTTTTTTTTGTTCTCTCTCTGTCTCTCTGTGTCTCTCCCTTTCTCTCTCTTTGATTTTCTTTCTCTGGGCGTTAGGGCCCATAGGCCATGCCATCCCCATCCAGAGGCGGCGCTTTCCCTGGCGCGTTCCGCGCGCTTGGGCCACCGGGGGTTTCAACGCTGATCCGACGAATCCGCGCGGACCACCGAACGTTTCTGCTCGCGTGCAACTTTTTCTCTTTTCACCCGGGGTCGGCGGCGAACGGGGGGGGGCGAAAAAGAAATGGCCGTCTCAGGAGGCGGCGGGACTTCTCAGAACCCCCCCGCGCCTTCTGAGAAGTTTCCGGCGCTGCCAGGAAAACTTTGGAAACTTATCAAAAGGCCCGGCCTTCTGTGAAGGTCCGCCCCTTTTCACTTCCCCCCCGGGCTCGCCGCCGATTGGGGGCGGGCCAAAATCGAGATGCGCGCTGGCCGCGTGTCGGTACTCGCCGTGCTCTTCCCAGCCCGGTCGCTGGCCCTGCTACTGCAGGACGCTGGCGCTGGCGCAGCGGAACCGACGGGGCCATTGCCGACAGGGGCGGCGATTTCCGCGGGCAGCGGAACGGCGACACCGCTCTCGACGGGGATGGTCGCGAAGGAGGAGGGGGGGAAAAAGAGGAAGAGGAGGAAAGAGGACGAGGACGAGGACGAGCAGGAGGAGGACAACGAGGAGGCGGGGTAAGAGGTCGGAGGAGAGGAACGGCGACACCGCTTTCGACGGTGATGGTCGCGGAGGAGCAGGACGAGGAAGCGGAATAGTGAACCCAAGAGTCATCAACGATATTGGAACACATCCTCCCCCCAGCTCCCTCTTCACAGCCTTCTACACGGATTCAGTTCCACTGAAGGAAGTGTCCTATTGGGGGACAGCGCCACGAGCCAACTTGATTGTTGCGTCTCGGCGATTTTGAACCGTGCTGGAAAACCATTCCTGGGGCTTCAACACCGCGAATAAACATGATTGTCGCGCCCTGACAGTCCTGATTCGTTCCAAATCGCCGCTTCTGGTACTTTCATCATGAGAGTCACTGAAACCGTTTGGCAAGTTTTTGGAACGAATGTGCGCAGCGCTGAGGCGATAGCCACAGTTTGACAAGGAGCCGCTCTCAACCCGCGGAAGTATTGCAAATGTTTGCAAATTTTGAAGCGAGTGTGCGCGGCGTTTGGCGAGAGTCACATTTTGAAAACGAGCCGCCTTCAATTCGTGAACCTCGTGCGAATGTTTGAAACGAATGTGCGCGGCGCGAAGGTGACAGCCACATGTTGAAAAAGATTTGCCTTCAATCCGCAAATCTTTGCATATGTTTACAGCGAGTGTGCGCGGCGCTAAGGCGATAGCCGCATTTTGAAAACGACCCGCCCTCACTCCGAGAAGCTCTTGCAAGAGTTTTAGACGAGTGTGCGCGGCGCTAAGGCGAGAGCCACATGTTGAAAACCCATGTGCGAAAATGTTCCCAGTGTTTTGATGCTTCCGGCTCATAAATGGTAAGGACGTCTCAGGCGAAACGCCCGGCCCACCTTTCCGATTGGCCTCGGGGTGCGACAGGGAGGAGTTATTCATGAGGAGAAGGAATGGAGGAGGAAGAGGAGGAGGAGGAGGAGGAGGATTCGAGGCCTCCCACATTGGGGTCCGAGCAGATGGGGTAGGAGGCTCGCACTGCATCGCCGATGTATCGGCGATGCGGCTCGATGTTGAGCCAGAATTTCTCCACGCCGATGGTGCCGGTGCATCGCCGATGTATCGCCGATGCATCGCCGATGCAGCGTGATCCTCCGACCCCACCCTGTCCGACCCCATCTGGGAGGCCTCTAGAGGAGGAGGAGGAGGAGGAGGAGGAGGAGGAGGAGGAGGAGGAGGAGGAGCAGCAGGAGCAGGAGGAGGAGATGGAGGAGGAGGAGGAGGAGGAGGACCCGCGGGAAGACAACGCCCAAGAGATCAGTCGGCGGGGTGCCTGGACAGGTCGCGTGGATCCACATTCCCAAGACGGGGGCGTCATCTGAGCGACGGAAGAAAGCGCGGTCGATTGCGCGGACCTTGGCACGTCAGTTTCCCGCGCAAGGTCGCGGCGTAAGCGCCCTCATACTCAACGCGGTGGGCCGCGCTGGCGGCCTGCGTAAATCACCGCGTAAGGTCGCTATGTCATCTCGCGCAAGACCCGTTTCTTTTCGTCGTTCATCTGGGGCCGAGAAGTCTGCGCAGGGAGGTGTTCTCCCCCGTCTTCATCTCCCTATCCGTTTCCCCCGCCGCTTCGTTCTTCTATTCCGCGTGCCTCTTCCTCCCCTTCAGCTGCCTCCTCCCCAGAGTTCCCCCACTCCATGCTCCTTTCTGGCCTCCTCCTTCGCCCCCCTCATCCCTGGTCTATCCTCTTTCTTCCTGCTTCCTCTCCCCCTGCTTCTCTCTCTCTCTCTCTCTTTCTCTCTGTCTCTCTCTTGTTCTTTCTCCCCTCTTTCTCCGACCCTCGTCTTCCCCGTCGTTCTCCCATCCTCGTCGTCGCCTTTCTCCGCCTCCTACTCGTTCTCCTCCCCCTCGAGCTCTGCTGCGCAGATCGTCTCCGCCCTGCCCATTTGCCAAAACGCTCTACCACAACAGGCACCTTTGCCCAGACTTCCCCGTGGACCGCTTCCTGAGGCGTGACGGCCGCGTCGAGGATTTCTTGGAATCCCTGGGGAGCGAAACGGGGGTGCACCCCCCTCGCCCTCTGGCAGGAAGGGCGGGGGGAGGGGGCGGGGGATGAGGAGGAGGAGGAGGAGGAGGAGGAGGAGGAGGAGGAGGGAGAAACCGAGGAAACGGAAGGGGAGAGATGAATACCTACAGAGGAGGCCCATGCCAAGAAACATCCTGCTTGCCTGCCGGGTGCCCTGGGTTTCTTGGGTTTCGATGGCTTTGCTGTCGAAAGCGTGACGTTCCCACGCCAAAGATCGATGGACGTCCTGGGGTCTCTAGGTTGGGTTTCTCCTGCAAGGTTTCTTGTGGTCGGGCCCCTATACTCTAGGAGGGAATTTGATCTTGATGCATTTTCGCTGTTGCTGGGCCTCGCTGGGTTCCCTCGTTCGCCGCGGCAGGGATGTTCTTTGGATCCAGGTCGCAGCAAGCTCCTGGCCAGGCTGGGGGTGGAGTTCGAGGGGGAGGCGGAGGAGAGGGAGGGGGGATATGGGAGGGGTACGGGAGGGAGTGATTCGGGATTTTAAGCCGTGGCGAGGCGCTCCGGCTTGCTTACATTCCAGGGAGGAAAGACCACCCGGATCCGATATTTGGCGTTTGCTAAACGGTTTTGGGCGCTTCTTTTAACAGCCCTGCCTTGTTCGACTCCGTCAATGGGGTGCGCTTACTAAGCGGCTTTGCGAGTAGGGGTGATGCTTATGGGGGTGGATTTTCTGGGGGAGTTGGGGGAATGATAATGAGAATGTCGGTTCACTAAGTGAGGAAAATGGGCTTTAAAGGGGGGAATATGGGGGGCTTCTTCGAGTTGGCCTGTCGGCTGGCCCGTTCGGCCTTGCTTAAGACCTTCGGCCATTGTCTCGAAAGAATTCTCGTTATATACTCTTCACCCATCGCAGTGGCACGTAACTGACATCGGTCCTGGAGGGCGGACTTCCGCTTGCTGGAAAATGACCCGCATGCCCCACAGAACCACAAACTAAGACACGTGCTCAGCTTTATCTGATGACTTTCGTGCACCCTGTCCCCCGCTAAGTGTAGCTTCTGATCTACTGGGAGTGCGTGAAACTCGCCATTCCCGTTCAGAGGCAAGAAACAAGGGGACCGTTTCCACTCGGTGGTTCTGGCCTGCGCGGCCGTGCCAAAACACCCGGAGCATTTCAAACCCGAATCATCGAGCTGGTGCCGTGACATAAGTGCAGCATGTACAGACGTTGCAGGAGGATGGGGAGGAGGAGGAGGAGGAGGAGGAGGAGGAGGAGGACCCGCCTTATCCTTCACCCCCTTCTCGGCCTCCGCGGCCGGCACATCCACAGAAATTCGGAGCAGCCTGTGTCAAACTAGATAAGCACGCCGCTCGACTTGCCAGAGCTCGCGTCGAACATGCTCGGGCAGCCGTGCTTGGAGGGCTGCTAATCTAACTAACTCATCAATGATGGTATTGCCCACAACCTGCCATGACTCTGCACGGCCTCGACAGACATCTTCGCCTGTGAGGTGGGAATTCACGAAGCGGACTTCCACGAGCTCAGCCGATCGGTGTGCAAGCAACTGGCCGATCCTAGCCCACTCGTCGCAGTCCTCCCCGTGGTGATGGATGTACCTCTGGGCCTGTCAGCCTTTGAGTACGTTCTCGCAATCCGTGATGTAAGTGATCGCGCCCTGACTCGCCCATATAGCCAACCACAGGGCGCGGAGTTCTCCGCGTCCAACAACCTGCCGACTGCCAGTCAACGGACCTGTGATGAAACTTTCGACGGCAGGGTTGATGTAGTCGGAGACCGTGGCTATCCCGAGGGCAACTCTTCTCAATCTAGGGTCAGCAGTGCCTGGGCCACCGCTGGCGTCTCCGAATATGACTGTAGGTGCAGCAACAGATCCCATTGGCAGACAACCTTCGAAAACTCCGTCATTCAAACCTTCACTGTACCAACAATGATTACCTGGAGCGGGAGGCATCTTGGTCCAGGCAGCTGGAATGAGGCCGCGAAGCCAAACACATTTGTGCATCTCGTGCTGTGTTCTGGCCCCCCCTCCAAGCACTCGCTCTTGGTGCAAGCTGCAGAACCATTGTTCTTGCAGCAGCTCCGATACCGATGATGCGACGTCTCCCGCTCGCACCCACAACGATCGCAATGGATATCCTGTGAGGTACCCCGCATATTCACTGACGACGACTCGGTACTCCGTTATCGGGACAACTGTTCGTCTTTCTTGGCCTTGAGCCAAGCACCACCCACAGCTACGTTGAGAAGAAGTCCCGCGAGCCGAGGGCCTCCTGGTCGAACGCTCCGAAGTCGATGCAACAACCTCCTGAGCGAATACGTATCGATGCCTCCGCCCAGGCATTCACCGTCAAAGTGGCGCTCGGCCTGTCGCCAGAAGGGCGCCATAGCTGCAGTTTTGACGTCGACAATGAACTCCCTGGAAATGATCTGATGCGGGAATGCCCGTACGATTCTCGTCTGGGAATTCCCACTTGAAATCTCCTGGCGGCTCCCAAGACGCTGGGGTCTGAGGGGCCCAACCAACGCCAAGCATATAAGATATGATAGGTGACATCGGCCCACGGATGTGTCGACTGCGCTGTGCCTCAGGAACACTCTCCAGATGAGCTCGAACTTTTGGCCATGCTCGAGCGACGGCTCCACGTAGCTGCGGTTGATCGCGCCACTGCTGAGGCCAGAGCTCGAACATCCCTGCTGCAAGCTTCTCTGCTGGATCTAAAGAAGGCGCCTCGATGGCCAGCAAAGTAGCGAGCCAGCGCCCCTTCGTCTTGGCGCTGCAGGCAGCTCCAAGACGGCGTCGGTATGCCGTGAGCTGAGTTCTGAATATTCCATGCAGCTGATATCCATAGCTGCCCGCCGACGCTGCCCTTTGACGGTCAAGGCGAGATTTCAGTTGCGCTCTCCTGATAATTCTTGTGTAGCGAACAACCTTCTGATGTCTGAGAACATGCTTGATATTGCGCTTCGTGCGTTGCTCGCGTGCGTGCCGCCTGCCAGCACCGAGATCAACACCCAGGTGCGACGTCTGCCTGGCAGGCGTAAGAAAGATTCCTCTGCTCCTCAGCGCCCGTGCGATCGCCTTCGCGTCGCCGTGATGGGAGCACATGATAACGGTCTTGGGCGCGATCGACAAGCTCTGTGACCGCAAGCCCGCCGCCGTGGCAGAGATACGCTTGATGAGGTTATGCTTCGCGACCTCCCGCGAACCCTTGGTAGCCTGCGACAGGTCGTCTACCCAAAGCATATGTTTGCAGCGCACGTGGACGGTGCTGATGCGTTGCATGATGAAATACGTCATTACTCTTGCCAGTCGTGTCCCCGAACGCAGCCCTCGTATGATGCTCTGGGTGGGCTCAAAGGGCTGCGAGAACGCATTGAGCTGAGAGCTGATTGAGCGTGCGGGGCGCCGCGCACTGCAGAAGTTCGAGTAGTAGTAGTACAGTAGGAGGGAATTCCAATCTGTTCGCGGCTCCAGCCAGCTTGAGCCAAGCCATGGTATCGTAAAAAAAGCTGATACCGACGGGGCTGCGACCGTAGGCAATATCAAGAGTAGAGCACACCTCCTCATCCAGGACACGTCGGACGGCCTCCTGAAGGGCCGAGTTGCCGCGCGCGGCGGCGCCCCAGTGCGGCTCGGAGGCCGCCGTCCAGGATTTCACCCAGGGTTCGCGAGCCAACGACCACACACGCCCAATCATGGCCATGAGGCCCATCACACGGTCCCCTGAAAGCTCTTTGGGTAAAAGTTTACAGATCACCACCATCGTTTGCACCGGCCACACTTGCAGATGTTCGGCGGCATTCAGAAGGTCGGCAAGCTCCTGCAAGGCGGCGTTGGGAAGCCGCTCGAGGTCGCAGGGCGTCAACCTGTCGATACCTAACCCCGTCGAAGGCTTCATGCTCTTGAGCGCCCGCCTCAGGTCTTCTACCGTGATCAAAGGGAGCGCCTCCGAGACCCGAACAGCTTTCCTGATGACCTCGATAACCCCGTCCAAGAGAGCCTCAGGAGTACACGCGGGAGGAGCTCAGAGCTGCTTCCATTTACGGGTCTTGAAGTCCACGATATCTTTAGGGTGAAATATTATGGTATGATTATCCCAGAGCTCCTGAGCAGGGATGGGGTCCTGGCGCATGGAGCGGTGGAGGCAGCCTATCGCCTCCGAGGTGACGGCCCAGTCCCTGAAAGAAACCAACGACTCGGACACAGCTCTCCTCTGCGCCCGCTTCATAACCTTGCTTGACTCGGCTGCTAGCCGTTCCAGAAGGGGGACTCAACATTCAGCAACTGCAATGAGCAATCGAAGCCATTCAGACCAGGCCGTTTCAACTCCATCGCACAGCACACGGTGGATTTGGTCGGGCCTCTCTTCCACAAGCTTACTGCATGCTGCCTCGAGTCGCCGACGTTGCGATGCCCCATTGCGACGAGATTTATGCCTGGCAAGCGCACTGAGAATCGTATGCACACGAGTCCACCATCCCGTTACAAGATCCCGCAAAGGAGTGACACGTATTTTATTTTGCACACGAACCTCGTCGACGACGAAAGTCGGACACGTAGCACGCGATGGGCCCATCGGGGACTGCACTTCATGATGAGCCTGAATGGTACCTTCGACGGCCTGAACCCAAGACGCGAGGCGTCACCAGCACACGTTCTAAACTTTGTTTTCCTGTTTGCAAGAAATGTTCTGAGAGCCTTTATGGTTGAGACCATCTTGTCTGGCTCAATCGGGCTTATGTCCTAAGAACGTTGCTTTAGAACATCCCCCAAGCTGTGCTTGCACTCAGGGGTTGTTCCCCACCCGACAGGTTGGGGTTGTTAGATTTCAAGAGCAGACCCCCCCGGCCAACCCCACCTTGCATACCGCGGCCGCCAGACCCCAAGTTGCCCCCAGAATCCCCCAGCATTCCCGAGAGTCCCTGGGAATCCCGCCCCCTCGCCCTCGACAAACACGACTGCATGCCGCGGCCGCCGGACCCCAAGTTTTTCCGAGAGTCCCCGAGTGTCCCCGAGAGTCGTCAAGTTGCACCGAGAATACCCGAGTCGCGCCCTCGACAAACCCGAAACAACACACCACCACACAACATGACATGACAGAACATACCATAGCCATGCCATGACAACATAAGTCATATCATATCATCGCAAAACATATCCGGGCAGAGCATTCCAGAACAGAAAACGACAGAACACACCACAACATAACATTCTTGAGCATACCATAACACACTTTGACGGAACACATCATATCAGGACACAGCGTTCAGAACATATCATAACACGACAACAGAGCATAGCGACGAACACGACAGAGCACAACGTGCCACAATATAAGATAATACAACATAATACAGCAATGACAGCATGACGCAACATAACATGGCAGTACCATTACAAAGCCGACCATGACATAACATCACATACCATGGCATACCACGCCAGAACAGACCAACATCGATCACATAACACGACGTAACAGAACAGAGCATGACAGAACATGACAAAACAATGCACAGCATGAAAACACAGAGCACACCAGAACATCACATAACAAACCAGAGCCGAACGTCACATAACAGAGAACCACAGAACACCACGGAACAAGTCAGACCAGAGCATTAGAGAACATTACATATCAAACCAAAACCAAGCCAGACCCCCAGTTGTCCCGAGAATCCCGCAGTCCTTACTGCCGCCCCGCCGCGGACGGCCTCCTGGCCTGCGTCCGTCATTCTAAGAATGGGAGGGGGGAAGGAAGGAGCTGGGGAAGGCGGCATGGGGCAGGAGGAGGAGAACAGGGGGGCCCAAGGTTTCGGTGGGGATCGCTCGGAGCAAATAATTACCCAGGAATTGGGCCTGTCTTTCGGTCTGGCGGCTGTGTCGCCACTATCGCCGCCCCGGTGCCGCCTCGTCGCGGCCTGACATCTGGACCTGTCTGTCGGTCTGGCGGCTACGTTGCCGCCGCCGCAGCCCCGTCGCCGCTTCGTCGCCGCCCGTCGTCTGCACCTGTGTGTCGGTCTGGCGGTCATAGTGCCGCCGTCGCCGCATCGTCGCCACCCTAGAATGCACAACATGGATGACGCCGCATACATTGCACTTCGTAGATTGCACTACACAGATCGGACCACACAGCTTGCAGATTGCACCACCTAGCTTGCAAAACAGATGTAGAATCGCATAGATTACACCACATAGATTGCGCAATTTGTGTTGCACCACAAAGAGTGAACAGCATATAGTTCACCACATCGATTACACAACATATATTGCAACACATAGGTTGCACAGCATGGATTGCACCACACATGCTGCGCCACATGGACTGCACCACATAGCTTGCACACCATATAAAGAACTGCATGGATTGCACCACATGGAATGTGCGATATAAATTTGTATATGTATATGTGTATGTACATACACGTATATGTATCACCACCTAGAGTGCGCAGCACACATTGTACGGCGTAGATGACACCACATACATGCCACCATATAGATTACATGATCTATTTCTATATATATATATGTATATCGTACAACCTAGATTGCTGGAAATACACTGTTTAGGTTCCATGCTGGCTAACATTCTTGAGTTCTAAGAACATGCCGTGGTAGGCCTATAGGAATGCTGGGACGGTCGGTCCCTGCTCAAATCATTGGGAGGGGTTTGGAGAAAGCGAAAGTCGGGTACGATTGTTTCGTGTCGTGTCGACGCGGCGTTGACCCCAGCGCGGGCGTTCAAGGTTGAACGCCGCCCGTGGCCCGGAACCAGCCGGCATCGTACGATCCTACGCGATCGGAAAGCAGCGAACGTTCAAGGTTGAACAATCCTCACGGCGCCAGAAGTCACCGCGCAAGTCGCCGCGACGGGAGCACGCAGGATGTGTATTTCACCTTTGCTCCCCAGCGATGCAGCGCAAAGCTGCCGTGGTCCTGTGTGAATCAGTTCTGCCATGGAGCCGTGCATGAACTGTTCTACGGCTCGCACAGGGGCGTGGGGAAGCTTGTGAACGTGGTCAAGGATCACATGGTGGGCTTTTTTCGCCAACCAGAAGAGCGCCTCATTGCCGCGTGGCACCGCGGCAAGCACAGTTGGAAAGGCCCTGCTCCGCAAAACATATCCGAGTTCGCCGACCGCATACAGGGTTGTCAGGCGAGGACGCTCACCATGGACGGTTGGCGCAAATGGGAGATATGCGGGAACCCCCACAAGCCTTCCAAAGAGCAAGTGCAGCAGGCCGTCCAGCTTGTGAGCAACATGCCCTTCGTTGGGCTCGCTGAGCACTGGGATTTTTCGATTTGCTTGTTCCACAAGGTGATGAACGGCACGTGTGCGGACCACGACTTCGTCAACATGCGCCCCGGAAGCAAGCATTCTAACAAAGGGGACAGTGTGAAGTCGTTACTGGGAGATTGGACTGACCCGTATGACACGCCTCTATATGATGCTGCCCAGGTCAGATTTTGGGCTCTTATGGCGGAGAACGGGCTAAACCGCGAAACGTGTGCCCGAATCTGCGCAGGAGCCACGAAGAGCAGGCCGTTCGCGGTGCATCATGAGGGCGCCCACACGTCCAATCTGATATCCCATTTTGATTGGCCAGGCCGCCCGTTCTACGATGCCGACAGTGCTGTCGACGTCGACTACAATTATGTTTGAAGTTCTGATCATTATCTGGTGGCTTTTGGCACATCCCGCCACTTGGCCTGGTCGGGAACTGGAGCATGTATACCAATGGCGGGCTGGTTTTCAGTCCCGGGACTTTTTGAGTGAGGGTCAGGGACGACGTCGGGGTGGCGTGGTGTATACTTGTTCCCCCGTTTTCCTTGGGAGACAACGGGAAATGTATAAACCATGATCCCGTATACGGCAGGATCCGTTTTTTGTGCGAATTTCGGTGCGGGGTCGGAAAAAGCTGTATAGAGTTCGGCTCCTTACCTGGGGTATAGGTCAGAGGCCTCCTTGGATGCCCGTGGGGTTCTTTTGGGCGGCCTCTCGGGAGCCTCTGGAGGGGCTGTTTCGGGAGTGTCTGAAGACCTCTCGGGGGCCTCTTGAGGGCCTCATGGGACCAGATTCGGGCGCTTTCGTGCCTGATTTGGGCCTTTGAGTGCCCGATTTGGCTTCCCGAGGGCTCGTCTGGCGCGCGCGCCGACACACTCCAAGAGATGTCGAGGTGTTGGATGTCTGGGATTTGGGCCCCAGGATGGTGTGTGTATGTGTGTGATCGTGTGTGAGCGTGTGTGTGTGTGTGGTGTGTGAGAGTGTGTGTGTGTGTGTGTGTGCGTGTGCGTGTGCGTGTGCTTGTGTGTGTGTGTGTGTGTGTGTGTGTGTGTTGCGAGAACTGATTCAAGCAGCTGGTTTCGGCCCCGCCGCCAGGCGTTTTCCTCGATGCATTCGCGCCTCCGTCGCCGGGAAGCGCCGCGAAAACCAGCTACGTGATTTGTGTTGCTAATCCTTTATGTTCGATGTTGATCCGATCGAGTCGGCTCGGCGTCGATACCAGCCGCGGCTCGATCCGACGCCGATGTTGCCGACGATCCGATGCGGACCGATGCTATCGTGGCGCTGTCGGTGCATCCTGGGGGGGTCGGTCCGATTGGACTGCGACTCCGTGCCGATCCGGCCAGATCAGGCACACACTCACATGCCGAATTGGTGCGAGTTCCTGTTTCGATGCTGACGTGCGAGGCCCCCAACAGGTGCGATGACACCACCGTATGGTGACTCAGTGGGGCTTCGGGGTGACAGCATGGTTTGGGGACGTGGCTCGTTCTCCTAGCATGTCTCGGGCGACTGGGGCCTCCGAGGTCCCAAAATGGTCAGGTGACGGACCGTGCGGTGAGGTCGTTGGGGGTTCCGAGGTCACCTCACGGTCTGTCACTGCACTGTTCTGGGACCCCCACAGAACAAGGGGTCGTTCTCGTTCCCCTCCGCCCCCTCTGCCCCTCCTGCCTCCTCTTGCTTTCCCCCCCCCCTCCCCCTCCTCCTTTTCCTTCTCCTCCTCTTCCTTCTCCTCCTCTTCCTTCTCCTCCTCCTCTTCCTCGTCCTCTTTCCCTCCCTCCTCATCCTCCCCCGGTTTTGCCTTCCCATGCTTCCATATCACTAAGTGGTGGCGGATCGCCTTGGAAATCCTTGTCAGGTTTTCCCGCGGCGTTTCTGGGGTGCATGCAGCGGCTTGTTGGCGGATGGCGCAGTTCTCATCTGCGACTGTGCGCTGCTTGGGCGCTCAGGTCGCGCAGCGCAAGCAGGCGGCAAACGGCCTTTTGGTTCGATGTGCGAATGCCCATCGCGGCCACCAGTAGCTTGGCGGCGCACCGGGGGGTAGCGCAGGGGGGGGCCTTTTCGAGAGAGAAGGCGTGGAGCTTCTGGGAAGGCAGGGTCTTATTAGAAGGGCCTGAAGGTTTCTAAGAAGGCGTATTATTAGCCCGGAGGGCTTCAAAGAAACGTCCTGCCGTCTTGGATTCGCCCCCGCCTATTTAGAAGGACCCTCCCCCCGCGCTATCCCCCCGAGCGCGCCGCCTAGCATCATTGCTGCCATTGCCAAACCAACAATCGATGCCATCTCTATTCTTGTTATTGTCGTGGACATGCGCACTTAAGAGCGGTCCAGCGCCATCCAGGGAATCCACTCGGATCTTTGCGAGATTATGTGTATGTCTTTCTTTCTTCGTCGATCTCATGTAAAAGTGTCTCATCGTTGAGCCACCATGCGGGATATAACAAACACCACATGCACAAGCACATGCAGGGGGGTCCAGCGCCCGTCAAAGACATCCGCGCGGACCTTCGAACGTTTCTGGTTGTGAAGTTGTTGTCCTTCTTAGGCACCAGGGTCATTGCTGTCATCGTTGGGTCAGCAATCGAATGCGAAACAACACCAACAACAGCAGCACCAACAACACCAACAACAACACCAGCAGGACCAACACCAACAACGGCAACAACAAAAACAGCACAACCAACACCAACAACCACAACAACAACAACCACGGCCACAACCACAACAACAACAACATCACCAGCAACATGAACAACAACAACAACACCACTCGTTGCAATTCGCTTTCACCTGCCCGCGTGCCATTCGTCTTCGATCGTACCCCGCGTGGGAGCATATCTTCCTGACCTGCCACGTGACACAGAAAAGTGAGAAGTATGGAGCACGAGAGCGATAGCAGGAGGGGGTTAGGATCAGGAAAACAAGCGGCAGAACCAGGCGGGCGTGTCGGGCGGGCGGATCTTCACGGGCGGGTCGGGCGGGTGGGCCCAGACGGCCTTGTCGAGCGGGCGGGTCGCTGAAGCGTCAATCGGCATGAATCGCGAGGAAGTCTCGAGCGATAGCGCGATACCCAAGCAAATCGTCAGGATGTCCATAAGCGAGAGCGTGATTCCTAAGTGTCGAGGGAGCCCCGTCTCGATATATTTCGAGACCGTCCCACGCGAGAGCGCGACTCCTGGGTAACATGAGAGGAAGTCCCGCGCGAGTGCGCGATTTTGAATGAATAATGATGCAAAATCCGGCGGGAACCGTTGTTGTAGTTCGAGGCCCAGGGGCGCATTCTGACGCCCAACCATGCCCCTTCTAAAAAAACTGGGTGCGAGCTCTGGGAGGGGCAGTTCCATTGAAAAACACACTGGGCACATGAGAGGGGGATCGACACATTTTTTAAAGACATGACATGCCAATAACCAAGCCAACGATCATTTAAATGATGTTCGCTCCTATCTGCTCGCGTGCCATTCAACACGCGTAACCCCAAACCCTCGATACCCGCCCCCTTCGTCTTCGATCGTGCACCCTCAGGGATGTACTTTCCTCACCTGCCACGTGCATTCAGCTCAGCCCCTAGAACAGAGGAGAGGAGGACAGATGGAAGGGGGAGTGAGAAGTATGGGGCACGAAAGAGATGAGCAGGAGGAGGGCTAGGAACAGAAAGCACGTGGCAGAACCAGACGGGCAGATCGGGCGGGCAGACCCCAGCGGGCGGGTCGGGAAGGCGGGCCCAGGCGGCCAAGTCGAGCAGGCGGGTTGCTGAAGCGTGAATCCTGCATGGATCGCGAGGAAGTCCAGAGTGATAGCGCAATTCCCAATTCCCTGAGTGTCGAGGGCGCGGCGTCTGAATACAATGCGAGGAAGTTCCACGCGAGAACGCGATTCCTGCATCAATTGCGAGGAAGTCCCGCGCGGGAGCGCGATGTTGGAACAGTGTAGCCCAGGGGCCCAAACACAGTTTGTGCAGAAACCGAGCCCCCCACAAGGATCATTTGAATTGAAAAACAACATGTGCACCAGTGGGGGATGATCAACAATAAGTTGTTCAAGACCGAGAATTCAAGACCAGCAGCTACAATAACGACATCAACATCAACAACAACAGCATCAGCAGCAGCAACAGCAACATCAGCAACAGCACAGTAATCATTCTAATTCAGCGTGTTCGCTCGTATCTGCTCGCGTGCCATTCAATATGTACTTCCCGAGCCCTCGATACCCGGCCGCTCCGTCTTGGATCGTACCCCCCTTGGGTGTAGATTTCCTTACTTGCCGCGTGAAGTCGTGCTCCCCCAGGAGTTCCAGGGGGAGGCCCCCAGCGGCCTGAGCTCTTTCTCCTCGCGAGGTCCAGGGGGCCCCACGGTGCTCCAAGTTGGAACGTTGGCATGGGGGAAGCGGGTCCTGGGGGAAACGGGTCCTTGACCCCGGGGCCTTCCCCCACGAGCACATTTTCAGCCTCAGTCTTTTTCTGACAGTCCCGTGGCCCGTGGGGGGCCCCGAGAGCGTGAAAACGGCGAAAAGCCTCAGAACCCGATTCCCTCAGAACCCGATCCCCCCCTGGCGAGAATGACATGTTGGGGACACCTTGTGCCGGAGGCACTTCCAGCAATCCCGCGAGAGGGAACGCGGCCTCCCCACCGACCATCGACCTGCGCGGCCGCCGCCGCCGCCGCCGCCGTCGCCGCCGCCGCCGCCGCCCCCGCCGCCGCCGCCGTCATCGTCGTCGTCGTCGTCGTCGTCGGCGTCGGCGTCGGCGTCGGCGTCGGCGTCGGCGTCGGCGTCGGCGTCGGCGTCGGCGTCGGCGTCGTTGTCGGCGTCGTCGTCGGCGTCGGCGTCGTCGTCGGCTTCGTTACGCGACGGGAGGCTTGCAGCCGCCCCGCGGGAGCGGACCGGGCTTCCCCGCCGACCACGGGCCGCCCGCGCGCCTCCGTGCGCCGCCGCGCGGTCGCCAGCTGCTTTTGCGACCCGGGCCCCACTTTTGCTTTTTGTACCCTGCCTCGCGCTCGTGCTGCAACTCCTGGGATCGGAGGAGGACAACGAACAGTCGGACCAAAGTACATGGTCGAGGTAGGTTCGGGGAGGGTACCATGATGTTTTTCGTCCTTGTTGGATATTATTGTGCATCTCGGGGGAGGATACCTTTGGATGTTCTGTGTGTTTTTGCTGGCGGAGGGTCTCATGTTCTTGAGGGATGTTCTTCTGTTCTAGGTCCGACTGGATTCCAAATTTAATCGCTTCGCTCATTCCGCCGGCCCGTATTATGCCATCGCAGGCGTTTGCTTGCGCGTTCGTGGCCTCTTGGAGCCTCGGTGGGGCCGTTTGGGGCCTCTTGGCGCCTCTTTTTAGGCCTCTTGGAGAACTCGGGAGGCCTCCAGGGGGCCTCCTG